AAGAGTTGGCTGCCTCGTTCTATGTTGTGGATAATTGAAAACCAAGCAGAAATCTGCAGATAGCTCTGAGGTGATGACAATAGCAACTGCAAGTCTGCAGCTAACATGACATAGAAACAATACTTCAACCAAGGATGTCACGTAAATATTCATTAAAAGGCGTATATGATTGCAATGATGATAACATTTGAAAAATGCATATTACATCAGCTCATATTCCTTCTCCAGGTGATACTCATATTTAAAACATCTTCTCAAGCAAAGAAACATTTCTTGAGCTATAGAATCAAGATATTTGACATTCTGTCACAACTATCCAAAGGGGTTTATCCTGGTCCTGTCTTCGGACATATAGCAGTTTCATTCTTCACGTCACAATCAGTCCTCCAATGCTGGTGTGTTCCCATTTGTGATCTTACTCTTCCCTTTCTTCTTGGCATGTTTTTTTGCTGCAGACCGATCAAATACATTAGTCCACTACACCTCTAGCAAAAGTTGTACAGTTAAAAGAGAAGGAAGTGGTGAAAATACCTTGTCTCCTTTTAGCTTCAGATTTGGCAAAGAAATCTCTCCATTCATCTGTAAGGACAAAAATAGGCTCCTCTTCTTCATCTTCATCTTCAAAGTTCTCACCTTCATTTTGCATCATTCTTCAGATGAAGACACACAAAAAAAAGTTAAAATCTACAGGATGAAAGAGCCTTAAGATTGACAGCTCTAACACAAGGGTAACATCACAAACGCACAGCTTCACATGTATACCAAAAAGGAATCATGCCAGTGAGGTTCTAGGTTCAATTTCTCCTACACCACCTACTTGATTCCCAAAACTTTAAATTCAGGTCCGTGATTTTTTACCATTTTCCTCTGCATTCTATAAGGAGTGGTCCATTGAAACTCTCTTAAACTTCCAATATAATCTATATTTATTTCCTGTGAGTTTATTTGAAGCCAGAATTTCCTGCTTCATGTTTCAATCAAATGCAGCATTACAACAAATACAGAAGATCAACCAGTCAACTATCACCCACTGATACTCGGTCTTTCAAACTATCACAAAACCAATCTTCATCCCATTTTCCAAGAACAAACTAAAAGACAAGAAAAGTGGGATCAAGTACTTCTCCGTGTTTGGGATGGACAAACTCCCTCCTCTTTTCAATTTTCTTTGACAAACAGAACATGCATAGAAATCACTATTTACTTTGGACCTATTTCTTGAGTTCCAAATTCGGCCGCAATCAACTCAATATAACCACTTCCCATGCACAGTTCTGAAACTGATAGGACTTCTGAAAATGTGGAATGGATTTTCAAATGTTATGTTGATGAGTCGAGAGAATTAGGATGACTTGGAGATGGTTGCATTCAGTAAGAAGATGTAGGACTCCCAGAGAAGTTATACATAAGCATAAAATTTCGCGGTGGTAGAGAGAAATTGGACAGAGCTAAGGAAAAATGGGCTCTGGGAACAGAAAAGAACGGCTGGGAAAACTGGTCAGGACATGGAGGAGAGCGTGAAGGCAGAGTTGCGGTGTATATTGCTGGATGGGGGAGTTGATGCTCCTATAGTCATCATTTGGGATCTCCACAAACTATTTGTAACATCTTTCCTCAATTTGCTAATGGAAATCCTTTATTTCCTGTCTACTCAGGGGTGCAGAAACACCTGCGCAGATCACAGGTGACATTTACAAGAATGGAGGGAAGTAGTACCCCACGAAATTTAGTGATGGATATAGACCTATCGGGAAGGGATAATAATCAGTTGAGTCACAATCAGCAGAATAGGTAATTACTGAATTTTGTTTAATATGTCCAACCATTGCTGCATCTAATTGTAGTCTGACTGACATTAGCTACTGAGGGAAAAATACCAGACAGTGCATAGTAAGCTAACATTCTGCACCTTGAGTGGCTGAGGTGCATTTTCATACACTAGTGTTCACCATCATTGAACCAACGTTTAATTATAGATGCAATAGATTGCTACTTCCCAGTTCCCATACACTAGTAGAAAAAAACTCCCAAGTGTGGAAAATGAATTCCAGGCTTTCAGACTCTTCATTCAAAAGGTGGCCATGAAATATACCAACTTTTAGCCTCCAAACAATCAATCAGATATTACTCCCACCTTTGTGGGGTAGTGAGGTTGTTTGACCCTCGGCTCAAAAGAAACTTCCTTTTTTCTTTTTATAACCGTGGTGTCCGAAACAGCTTGTGCGCATTTCCACTAATTCTATCAACAACAGGTCACATAGGAAAAAAATCACAAGTGTTTTTTTTTTTGTCTCGGCTAGGAATTGAACCACTTGGCCACACCCTTGGGTGCCTCAAAAGAAACTTCTAGCCTCTAAACAAAATCAGAAATTCAGTGATCAGTAGTGCTGATGTTTTATGCTTGTGTTATACAGAAAATCATGATTAAAAGAAGGTAAATTATCAAGAAATAAAACTATTACCAGCAAATACGAATGGCATTTTTATATAATCAGTAATCACAAAATCCAAGTGCAATGGTAGCAACTGTGCAGAAAATACAATCAACCCAATTTCAATCAAAGCACAAGAAAGCATTAATTAATTGAGTGAAAGTTACCCTGAGTCGTTAAAACTGACATTAGGCTCAGAAATCTGCATATTCAAATCGTCCGGCAGTAAAGGCGGAGTAATTTGTTCAGGGTTTTGCGGCAATGGAGAAGGAGTAAAAAGTGGGCATGTTGGTACATGGTTGTTGCGCTGCAACATGTAGCTGTGTAATGGACAGTTGTGCGATATCTGAAAGTGTTGATGACGGTGACGGTGATGGTGATGAGGATGATGACTCCATGGCATCGCACCGACTGAAGAATTTTTTTCCATTGATGGCTTGGAGGTGTACTGAGAGTGTACCGCTTCTTTCTTATTATTTCGGGTCACGATATTGGGCTGTGAAGGTATATATTGGCAACTGGGCTACTACACAATAAAGCCCACATGAGATTATACTGCTCCATTCGTCCTATTACCTTCTTCTTCTTTTTACGGTAATTTGTTTTGACACAAAATTTTAAAATAAAATATCATTTAAAAACAATTAGAGTGAAGAATTAAGAACATACTTATTCAAACTATCAGGTGTGAGAGTTTCCTATTTGAAATATCACTATCATTCAAGTAGAAAAACGAACAACTAATAGTCAAGGTGTGTTTCGATAAATATTTGGTAATAGTTCAATAGTAAACTCGCACTCCTGATATTTTCAAACTCAATAATCAAGATACTTTAAATGTGTTTTTGACCATTTAAGTAGAATTTTGTGATATGTTTGACAAGATATCAAATTTATGTATATTATATCATCTCTCAAGTCCTTTTTCTTTGCTCTTTATATCGTGGTCATCACCACTCCCCAACTTTTTTTTTGAGGTTGGTGAAAAGTTCATTTTAAAATTCAAATCCAGTGTGAAAAATAAATTAATTAAAAGAATCCTTTCCAGCAAATTAAAGTCATCTTCTTTTTTTTTTTTTTTGAGTAGCTACAAAGTCAAGTTAAATGCCAAACACACTACCAACAAAAGCAAGAAATTAACCAAGCTAACATATCACTTGACAGAAACTTTATTGGTGAAACTTAATCATTAAAACTACTGTTAATTTGACTTGAATTCTGAATATATTTTATGAGTTTTGCTTATGATTTCACAGAAAAAGCTAGTAGTGCGATACGAATGAAATTGATAGAATTCTCTCTTTAGTGTTTTCGTAAAGATTGTGATTATCCTTCTTTATCCATATAATATACGTGAGTATATATAAATCTTTTATTACAAATTTATCATAGAACAACCTACTTATTGAGAAAAAATATTTTTGAATTTACTAACGAAAGAATCTTAATGACTCAGTTGATTACTTTATTGATAAAGTTCAATTTCCCACCACATAATCTCTCCTTGATTTTCCCTTTCCTTACCCCACCAAAAGTCCTTAATTTAAAGGAGGAAATATATCTCATGCATTTTCAAAATTCCACCAAATCTCAGTGAATGTTATTATTATCCATTTCAATGCCATGCTTATGCTTTCAAAAATGGTAAATTTGGTCCCACAGAGTTGAAATTGAAGAGCAATATGAGGATTTTGCCATGTTTAAGTAGAAGACAAAATGATGAGTTTGTTTAGTGGTCACTGGCTAGTGGCATCTCAATTCCCCACCCACTTTAATTGGTGTAATACAAGATAACATTCACCAATGCACCACCCATTTTTAGTCCATTTAAATTATATATATTAAATAAAATTTTTAAAATACATACCAAATTTAAATTAAAATTATTGAGTTCGATTGAATCTATTAACCTTCCCACTCCTTGAAAAGCCGCTCAATTAAATAAAAACGATCTTCACAAGTTTTATTGGTGTAGGAGTTGCCAAGCACAACCATGCGATGAATGATTGAGAAACTCATCTAACTGCTACAATGCGACGGCGGATGGAATAGACAAGCCAAGTTGGGCTTGAGTTCCGAATTCCTAAATTTAGCGTGAATTATTAGTTTTATCCTTAAATTATTGACAATCTTAAAAATACATTCTTATTTGACTAATTAAATTTAAATACACCTATATCCTTTGATATTGCATACACCTTCGATATTGATAATTTCTCGATTTTTTATTAAGAGTTTCATGCTCTTACAAGAATTTGAAACTACTTTCTATGTCATGTAACAGATCGAGGTATATCTAAATTTAATTAGTTGAATAAAAAGTATTTTTAAAGCTATAAATTAATAAGGTGATGTTTTCAATAGTTTGATATATCATAAATTAACAACTTAATCTTTAATTTTGTACACAAGTAGTGCCGTGACAGAATTAGGTAAAGCTTTCCACACATTCCAATATCTACTGCAACCTTACATTTTTTTTATAAAAAAAAAACATATTTTTATTTATTTACGTATTTTTTAATTATTAAAAGAAATCATTTTTTAAATACTGCAAAGTTCTTGTAGTAATGCATATGCATCTCATCCCCAGATCCCTATAGTATATGTTCATCAATAGCAGCCCTACAAATCCTCCTTCATCCCTATTTTTGGTCAACTTTTTCTCATTTGGGTCATTGGGTGTCTCAAATTTGGAATCTTTGGCTAAAATCTTTCGAATTAAAGATTCAATTTTTGTTCTTGTTCTTGATTCATCACCTGTGATTCAGGTGGTAAGATCTGTTGTATTATTTCGTTTTGTGTGTCAATGGGCGCATTAGATGAAGGGCACTATCATGCAGAAATAGATAACGAAGTTAGTTTTGAGCTTGGATTTGAAACTCAGCCTGAAACACTGGCTATTCAGGATGCTGTTAGAGTCCTATTGCAGGGTTTGGGTGAAGATATCAATAGGGAAGGAATCAAGAAAACCCCTTTTCGTGTTGCTAAGGCTCTTCGACAAGGAACAAGAGGTAAACTGTGACACCCTTTTGGATTTTGTAATAGTTGTTTTTTGTTTGTTCCATGTTAATGGATCTGCTTACTTTATATCGCCATGAGATCTGGGGAAAGTGTAGTTTGTGCATCAAGCTTGTCAGAGTATTATTAGTAAGGACTGCTGAATAGCATGAATGCTTATTTTTGCCTCATGCTGTTAGTTTGTGTGTTTCCCTTGTTGGAAAATGCCAAAAGATGGAATTTTTTTAGTTGAAGAATTTACTGAATTGGTCTTTTTTTGTTATCCTTCAGTGAAGGTTCTGCAATTATGAGCACTCTGTCCTTATTATGTATAAAAGGAAAGAGAACGGGTAAGGTGGAGGAATTAGCTTTAACCAGACAAACAAGCTTTGTCATTTCTAGGAGTACTATTTTAGTTGCTTTTATACCATTTTAAAATTGAATTTTAAAAGTACTTCCAGCTCTGGTTTTCTTCATTACACCAAATAATTATTTTCGTTGTGTAGCCAGAATATTTATTCTGGAATATTGAAGCAATGATTGCCTCAAACTTCAGAAGGTTTTCAGGTTAGGGTGGTGTTTTCCAACCCCTCATCATATCTCAAGTTCCTTCCTTCCGGATGGTCCAAACTGTATCTTTGGATGGGTTGCCATAACTTCTTGATCCATGGGCTCTCCATTGCCCCTTTAGGAACTTCAGTAATCTCCTAATGCACCTGTTGGTTAGCTTTTCATTTAGTGAAGGATGAGTCGTCAAACTTTCCAGCAAAAAAAATTGTCTTTGAATATCGGATATGAGCTTTCTGTATTTTATATTTTCTAGATGAATCCAATGCTGCACTTTTTGAAGTTTCGGAAAAGTAGCTCAATTTCAAGTGTAGAGGTTATGTTTGGCCATTCTAGTGTGTCCACCAAGGTGGAGGTTGGAGACTGTTAGATGAAGCCCCTGTCGTTAGGCAAATTGGATTACTTCATTTTCTCTAACCACTTTTGTTAGTAATGTTGGTATGAAGCTATTGGAAGTGAACCTATATACAGTTAGGGACAGGGGAAGTCATGAATATTGAAACCAGACTTCGGACGCTCATGAAATGATATTCCCGTCAAGTAGTTGCAACCATCTATTTGAATTGAATACTCATCCTTGAAGCACAGTTGAAGGAAACTGATGTGTGTATGTCTCTTCAATACACGTGAGGGGAAGTAAAGATGAAAGATTGAACTTTTCCATCTTGCTCATGGAACACATGCATTACTGACTTGTAGGAATTGCAAAATTAAAATTTTAATGTGGGAACAGTGCATAAGCTAAAATATGATATCATGTGTTCTTTTCTAGTCAAGAGAAGCATCTCTAGGAACAATGTTTCTTCATTTGCAATTAGGAATTTCATCTTGTTTATTTAAGAAACAATCTTTCTTGTTCCTTGCTCCTTTCTGCAGTTTACATTTAAATACTTGGTTGCTGGTTAGTGCTGGATTTTTGTTCTAGGTTGAAACAAGTGCGGGGCTTTCTTTAGTGAAAAAATTTTGAACACCAAGAACTTGATTACGTCATAACAAATTGTTGCAAGTCATTCAACATCTATCTTATGCTAGTTAACTGCAGAACTCATCATGCTGTATGCAAAGGAAATCTACATCTTCTATTAGCATGAAACATGTTGATAGTTTCAATTGTAGATGGGTCGGTGAATTGATGTTTTAAACTGCTGTTTGACTCTAGTCTTTCATATCTTGTGCTGTATGAAGGTTACAAACAAAAAGTGAATGATATCGTTCATGGCGCGTTATTCCCTGAAGCTGGATTGGAAGGTGGAAGTGGTCAGGCTGGAGGAGTTGGTGGGCTTGTGATTGTTCGAGATCTTGATCTCTTTTCATACTGTGAGTCTTGCTTGCTTCCATTCCAGGTTAAGTGTCATGTAGGTTATGTCCCATCTGGAAAAAGGGTTGTAGGATTAAGCAAGCTTTCTCGGGTTGCTGATATTTTTGCAAAACGGCTCCAAAGTCCACAGCGCCTTGCTGATGAAGTTTGCACTGCTTTGCAGCATGGAATCAAGCCAACAGGCGTTGCTGTGGTTCTACAGTGTATGCATATTCATTTTCCAAATATTGAATCAGCATTTCTCGACTCGACTTCCCAAGGATGGGTAAAGATAACGGCTACCTCAGGTTCTGGTGTTTTTGAGGATGGGAATGCTGATGTTTGGACTGATTTTTGGAGTCTACTGAAATTCAGAGGTATAAGCATAGACAATGCTCATCGTAGATCCTCTGGCCAATCATGGTGCCCATCTCAATCTTGTGGCATGCCAGGACAAGCAAATTCAGCTATGACAAATGCAGTGAATTCGATACTTAAGTCTCTGGGCGAAGATCCATTGAGAGAAGAGCTTGTAGAAACCCCATCTCGGTTTGTGAAGTGGTTCATGAACTTTAGAAACTCTAATTTGGAGATGAAACTGAATGGCTTTGTTCGAAGTAGAATAGATACTCGAAGTCCTTCTGGTCAGGTTGGTAATTTTAATGATGGCATCTGCTCTGAGCTCAATTTGTCATTCTGGTCCCAGTGTGAACATCATCTACTCCCTTTTCAAGGTGTTGTGCACATTGGTTATCACTCTTCAGATGGAGTCAACCCGGTTGGAAGACCTCTAGTGCAATCGGTAGTACATTTTTATGGCTTTAAACTCCAAGTACAGGAAAGGGTTACCAGACAAATAGCTGAGACTGTTTCATCATTCTTAGGTGAAGACATTATCGTAGTTGTGGAAGCAAATCACACCTGTATGATATCTAGAGGAATCGAGAAATTTGGAAGCAACACAGCCACATTTGCTGTGTTGGGTAGATTTTCCACTGACCCTGTTGCAAGAGCAAAATTTCTGCAGAGCCTCCCAGACTCTTGTTCTGCAGGAAGATGATGTCTTTTCTCAAAGGAAATATACAGGCTACAGCAAGCTAAGTACTTGTCCTACGGATTACTCAGGTAAAACTGAAGGAATTGAGAAGCAAACTCGGCGCTGAATTCAAGAATGTAGGTTCTTTTCTTGGAGGTCCTGTTTTTACTTCTATAGCATAGTGATAAACGAGGTTATGAAATTTTATCCATTTTTTTCCATCCTTGTAATATGTAGCATGAGCAAGGGTCCATACCAGCAATATTTTTAAGTTGCCCTTGGTTTTTCATTTCTAATGCAGTTGCCATTGATTTAAGTGTCATACTTGGCACATTGTGCCTTATTATAGCATATACATATATGATGTTTTCCAATCTTTTCTGCAATATTAATGTTACTGAAGTCCTGGTTGAATTTATTTCAGTACCGTGTGAATCAGTGCTTACACTTGTCTTCCGAACCTAATGTGTGTTAAATTTCACAGAAGTACAAATTATTGACTTTTGAATCCCAGTAAATCAAAATGTCTCAGTCCTATTAGTTTCCTCTTATGTGCATGTTAAAATGCAGACAAGCTTTGCTAGTTCTTCTATTTACTGACCCGACGAATATAAAGCCATATATGTATAATAAAATAATAATGCCACGCCACGACAAGTGTGCTTCTCATAGCGAGAGTATTAATGCTAAATAGTCACTTATGCAACAGCAACAGTAGTAAAACAGCTCAGTTAAACACTTGTAATGATCAACTTGCAAAGAGTTCCTAAAGAACTGTCACTCTTTTCCAAGAGAATTATTGCTGAAAGTTGCTATATACAAGGAAAGTAGGACAGCTTATGCCGTTTATACAGAGAAAGTATGCATCAACCTTTATACATCGGAGCTCATTAATAAACTTAGTCGGACCATAAGTGTCGGATTGCACCCCAATCTAAGTTTTCATCTGATTGGGGAGCCTCAGGGTGAAGATTGAGGACAGAATCAACCTCACTTGCATGACAATCTAAGTTCTCATCTGATTGGTGGACCTCAGGGTGAAGATCGCGCACAGAATCAACCTCACTTGCACGACAATCTAAGTTTTCATCTGATTGGGGGGGCTCAGGGTGAAGATTGCGAACAGAATCAACCTCACTTGCATGAAACTGTACTTTTACATGTGGTTGCATTGCCTCTGGCTGAAGATAGGGTGCAGAATCAACAGCAGTTGCATACCAATCTATGTCCATATGTGATTGTGATACCTGTGAATCGGGAACTGAGGCAACTTTGGCTTTGAGAGTATTCTTGAACATCATCCCCATTCCGAAAAGTATTGCTAGAACCGCATATGTCAATAGAAGACGTACTGCAAGCATCTGCAAGGCCCCCTAAAAGCAAAAACAATACTACATGATTTGAAATTGCATAACAAGCAGTAATTTAAACTGAAGAGCACATGTAGATGCAGAGTATGGTCGAGTTTACAAGCAGCACAAATCAATTATCGTCTCTAAAACAATGAATACGTGCATTGTACTTCTTCCATCTATGTCATAATACTAGTTAAATGCTAACCTAGAATCAGTTGTGTGCGCAAATATATACCAATGAACTAGAAATAGCAATATCATAATTGGATCTCAGTAAGGTTGTCGGTATTGAGACATAAAGTGAGGGCATCCAAATTCAACAGGTTAGGCGGGTTGTGGGGGACAGTCATCTAAGTGGAAAAATAGGAACAGCCCAAATCAATCATCCAACAGGCTACATTGCTAACCACTACAGGATTTCGCCAAATAATAGATGAATAAACTATATCTCAATCCAGGCAAGTTGGGGGTCGTTAAATAGTAGATGACTTGAATAAAGAAAATTACAGCCAAATTCTTTCGCGTATAGTAGTTTTACTTTATTGCAGAGTGAACGATTTTTAGCAACTCAACTGTAAAGCTTACAGAGAAAAATAAAACTGTAGAAGTGATTTCTAGTTGGATGGCTTGGACTGTGACTCACACCTCAACCCATTCTGACGCAAGTGAACTTTGAGTGATTGCTACATGACTCTTTATTTACTCAGCCCATTTTAACTCAGTCTAAGTTTGACATCATCTGAACATGCGACACCCTAGATCCATAGAAGTAGCATAATAAGAAACTCTTGCCAAGAGGCAAAGCATACAAGTGAAAAATGACCAGCATTAAAGTCTCTGTAATTATGCATTACTGCTTCAACATTTAACTAAATTGACGGTTCCCAAAAGACTCTAGCTAGAAGGTTGAAGTGTTGACTGAATACCCATTTGATCTAGGAGATGTCCATCAATGATCAAAGGAAGGTGCAGTAAAGCCATTTTACAGACAAATGAACTTTAAAAAGTCCCTAACAAAGAAGTGAAACCGCCTAAAACATGAATCAACCATGTAATTTGCTCTAACAATAATCTCACCTTGCTGCTATATGGGCTTTTGAAAGGTAGGTCTTTTTTGAAGGGTAGGTTTTTATCAGCATGCTCAAGACAATGGCGCAGCATATTGAGTATAGTCAACCTAGTCCCAAAATCATCACTTTCTGAAAACACAAGACCAAAAGGAGAAAAATAGAACGGGGGTGCGGGGTGGTTAGAGTTTTGTTCAACTTAAACAAATTCATGTACTAGCATGCTAACTTATCTTGATGTCACCTGGTATGTCAAAAATTTGTTTCTTGGGATGAATACCCAGCAGCTGTCCCAAATGCATGCGGATGCGCGTACGATCCGAAAGTGAAAGTAAATCACCGTGTGTGAGCACAACAATAGGTTTTTCATCTGAGATGGCGAGAATACGCAAATTAAAAGAGCTGTAATTAATATGCTCCAACAACAAGAAAGAGGAAATGGGATGATAGATACTGAAATATGTTATAAACTTAGTATCGATCTGACACTTGTTTTTGGATGGGCCAACACTTCTTCACATGATTACTTCAACATTATTTTGTAAATCCACAATGAACTCCCCCATATTCTGATCAAGGGAGCTTCAATTAATATTAACCGTTATCTAATAGAACATTCCTGTCTACATATTTTTCTAATACGAACAAAATGCATTTAATATTTAATCAACTACACTGCTCTTAAAAGGCCAAAAGACAGATTGAAGTGATAACAACATTACAATAAAGTGCATTAATACCTTTGAATGACAAGAGAGGGTAGTTGAAATTTGTAGCAACAGCTCGAGTTTGTTGCCTCTTTGTTTCATCATCACTGTCCATCGATTGCAGAATTTGGACCGCACTGACAACAAATATGACACAATTAACCACATTGGTCTCACTGGCACAGTATCTATTTCGGCTAACGTTAGACTTCGGATGTGCATCATCAGAATCCCTGTCAAAAGGAGCATTTCAGAGAGTCAAGGTACCCTAAGTAAGTTTTTTTTAAGTAAATTCAAAATAAATCATATAAACCTCATTATTAGCTTCCCATGACGAACCCCTTTTGTCATCCAGCGGTCCACAATTTTCTTATTTACATTCAAATCATCCGACAAACCACGTGTGTCATACAAACAGAAAGAACTAGAACCTTTTGGCATCGTGTACTCGTGGAGAAAATATGTCCCATCTCCATCAGAAGAATCTGGTAACCCACAGATTCAGAACCATGAAGTTGTTATGACATGTTAATAATCTGACAACTAATATGTAAAGAAAAAACCAATATGATTGAATTAGTATCTAGGACAAACAAAGGAAATATGATACTCACATTTATTCTAATATCTTTTATCTGAGTTTCACTTTATTACATGAGCAAAGGGGAAAGAGAACATACACGATACTTGAGCTCTTTCTGGTGTAAAAGGATCATCATCAAACACTCTGGAGATCTTGTTAATAAGACAGCTTTTTCCAGATCCTCTTGGACCAATCAACAAGAGTGTCATCTTTTTTGGTATATTGTAATCACTCGCTTTCATGCCACCCACCTCCTCAATCCATGATCCAGGGGTGTAGCTGCAGGTGTTCATTTGCCATGTAACTCAACAAATGCATAGTATTTACAAGTAACCCAAGACAGAACTTTGAACTTTATAATATGCTATGTGGAATCTAACGTGTACAATTGAGAAACTGAATAACTACTGAGATGAAGTAAGATAAGGTTATGCAAAAATAGAAGTAGCTAACTAAGTTAAAAATAGGCAAGAGAAATGGCAAATATTCTATCACTGGGCACTAATCCAAATCTAGTTGTCTCTACTCTCTAGGCCTTTAAGTGAACAAACAATAATTGCATAAAAAGAAGAATTTGTATTTGTCCTCTCAAATAAACTGGAATGAATTCCATGAATTACTGTACCTCAAGATTTTACTTTTGGCTTCCTTCAAATAATCCTTATGGAACTGCAGTTCCTCATAGCTCTTGAGGACGTCCATATATACATTCCTTATCCGCTTTTTATTCACCTCATCAATTACATCTGAAGAAGCTTGAAAGAATTCCTCCAAATCCATAGAACCTAGTCCAACTTCTCCATTCTCTACTTTTGAGCCAAAAAGATCACTACCACTGCACACATTCCAATTTCCAACCACTGATATAACAAACATGTACACATACACACACAGAGCCTGTGTAGAGTCTCTGATTGTAGAAAATCATGAACCAGTAACAGAAAATACCTGAGAAACCTAGGCGAACTTGGCGGATTATCAGGGAACTTCAGAACAAAAGATGATTCTTCTGCAAGTACCAAAAATTCAATCTTTTTTCAGCCTTGTCAGTGTATCAAGTCTAGATTTTTAAATATGAAAAAAACTAGATTTTTTTCCAGGGATATTTTGATCAAAAGATGATTCTTCTGCAAGTACCAAAAATTCAATCTTTTTTTCAGCCTTGTCAGTGTATCTAGTCTAGATTTTTAAGTAAGCTATGCAAGAATCAATCAACTGTTTGTCTCAAGTCCAAATTAGTCCAGTGAGTTATATGATCAGATGTTCAAAACTAGTTTTACCTAACCGTCAAACTACTGCTACACCTCATTTTCTAAACTAATTCCACGAAATATCTGTCACCTTCCACCACTAAACTTTGTCAGCTGGAACAAATAGGGAGAAATCACCTAGTACTATTTTTTATCTCGGAATTTGAACCTGACACCTACTGATTCTCAAAACACACCATACTTTACAAACATACATATCAAAATTATGCAAGAAATGTGAAAAATCACCCCACCCCACAAAAAAGAAACAATATGGGAAGATTTTCATATATTGTACCAGTGGAATGGATGAGAGTAGAAAGAGGGGATGTAGTATCTCCACCCATAACTGTAAGCCTACAAAACTCTACTAACTATTAATGTGATTTTGGGGTTTTTCAAAATCCACTCTTTTAAGGTTTAGAAGAAAAGAGTGGACTTCAAGAAGCTGATGATAGAATTGAGAAGTTTACTTAGCCAACAAGAGTTGAAGAAGCAAAAACAAGAAAAAGGGTTTTGAATCAGAGTGGAGTTGTGTGGTTTTTGGAGATTATCTGGGCTTCTGCCACGTGTTACCTGATTTAGCGGTGGTTGATTGGTTATTAGAGTCTCACAGTTTCATTAATTAAGGAGGTTACGTTACAGTTTAGGAAAAAATAATGAGGTTGGACATTTGATGAGGAAACTAACGTAATTGGTCCCCTATATTTGAGGTACGTACAAATTAGTCTTTTAAGTATGCTTTGAATGATTTTGGTTCTTTGATTTTGACAAAAATGAGCATTTTTAATCTCCTTTTAATATTTTTAAAAAATTATCTTAAATTTTATGATAACTGTGGACAAAAATGTTAAACCATAGAACACCAGAAAAGTCTTGCTATATCTTACGATGGAAAGAATTGTAGTAGACACTAAAAAATAGACTAAACAATAAACATACCCAAAATTGCATATAAAAAAAGTTAGAATTCGAACTCTAAAAATAGATCATAAATAGCAGAAACTATATTAATATTGCATATAAAAAAGTAAGATTTCAAACTCTAGAAATAGACCATGAATAGCATAAAGCCATAAACTATATTAATTATACCTCCAAATGTGAATTCCCACAAATAATTTTTTATATATTCGTCGTAGATCAAAAGTGTGGACAAACTTAAAAGGACCAAAATGTTCAGATTATAGTTTGTGGACTATTTAAACTTACAGAGACATAAGAGACCATTTTTGTCATTTTCAATTTTCTCTTCTGGTCTTTGGTTGACAACTCTGAATTTGAACTTTGAATTCCCAAAGTACAAATTCAAAATTTCATTCTGTGATAATGTCCCTACCTCCAAGGGGAAATTGGACATTAAACTTTTCAAAAAGTGATGTTATTCAAGAGTAGCTAGCAAATCTTTTGTGGCCCCAAAAGGCCAGGCAATCAGCTCATCCAACTAACAACGAAAAAAAAAAACTAAATAAAGAACTAGAGTTGTATCTTTCTCCACGTTTATGATGGTTTAATAATTACAACAGTATACTTCAGTCATCTTCTATACGATTGTTCCCACAAGGACACCAACTACACCGCCTAAAAGGAGTGTGGGTCACTCTACATCTTTAGAAGAGAATCTTCTGAGAATTATGAAAAAAATCTAGTAAATAGACTTTAATTGTGCTGTCAACTACATTTACAGATTACAACTAAATACTAGTATAATTGCTTATTTAGTCGAACTAGAGAGTTGAATCAGGAGCTCAAAGGCAACGTCCCTGCTGAAAGGATGACGACATAGCCAGAAAGGGGCGCTCCAAGAAGTTAGTCTGCAGAGATGTCATGCCAAAACCAGTTGATTGTGGAGCTCCAATAGTTGAGTGTGGAATCGTGCTGCAGACAAAATAAAGGGACAACTTTAGTTTCATGTTTCCTACAAGCAGCTTCAATTAATTGTTCCATGCAACAAAACAAAAAAAAAAAAAAAAATATTTCTGATCAATAGAGCGAGACCCACCCTTGCATTCCCCAGTACTGACATGCATGTTGTGATACTATTGGGTCTTATTGGTTTTCCCGAGGACATGTATCTGATGCTGTCTGTTTAGCAGGGGTAGTGGAGAGTTGGAGGACTAAGTTATGTTCAATCACTAATATGAGAAATGATATTGAACAGAAATTTGTTAAGGAAACTGGGTAGCAAGATGATTCCATTTCTGTTCTCCGTAGGGATAATACATCACTCAACAACCCACCAAAACTGGGTAGCGGGATGATTCCATTTCTCTTCTCAACAGGGGAATAATACATTACTCAAAAACCCACCAAAACTTATGCCATTAACAGAAACAAAATTCGATAAATGGATACTGACCTGAATGATAATGACAATGAGGAGTCCACCGGAGTAGATATTTGATGGTGATCAGTAGGAAACAAGGACCAGAAAACTGAAAAGAAGAAATCAACACAGCCATGACATCTCTAAGTAAAATAGTATAGAAGGTGAAGATTTCAACCAACTACATTAAATACCCAGAAAGAACCATAATATGCTGACAAACCTTTCAGCATTCTAGGTTTCATTCAAGAGTCTTAACACAAGGCAATTATACTATTGCAGAACAACCCACCCATAACAAAAAGAAAAAAGAAGGTTGTGTAAAATTGCAGAATGGTTAACACAATTGTTAAGTCCCACATTGGTGGGATGAGGAGAAGTTGGACTCCTTATATGAACTTGGACAATCCTCCCCATATAAGCTATTTTTTGGGTTGAGTTAGGCCCAAGATTCATTTCTTTACAACAACAATATATTACACTAGGAGGAAAAATATATGAGCTACCTGAGTGTTGTGAGTGATCTTGGAAACCAGGGCAGAACATATCCTGCCAATGTTGTTAAAAACCTTTTAGAAGAATATATCAAAATCAGGAGTCTTATGGAAAGAAATCCCTGAAAACAGTGACCCAAGTATTAAAAAAAAAAAAAAAAAATTAAGACACTCACCGTTCCTGCACCTTGACTTTTACTTGCCATCTTTGCAGGAAATAAATCTACATGATGAGGTTTATGGTAAATTGTTTTAGGAAGATGCAACTGGAAAAGAGAGAATACAACAATAAAACAAAAACTTGAAAAATTAAGGCAAGACATATACTAAGCAAGGATGTCAGTCTTCATGCTCTTAAAGAATGATACTATCACAAAGATGGTTTTTTGCTTTAAGGTTGTTTTATATGATATAAGAGCCAGGGATGCTGTTTTTAGAAATATGTTTCCCTGGGCAAATTTGAGACGTTTTTAAACTTGGATTACCACCATATCAAGAATATATATTTCCTTTTTTAGTGGACTTTTGTGCAGGTATTGCTTCTAAGAAACAAGATAGAGGAAGACACAATGAGTCAATGACAAAGATGTCAGTCATTACAAAAGCCAGAATATACATGATCAAATTATAATTATTGCAACAAATTGAGCCATAGACAGTACAGAAATAAACCTGAAATAATTAAAATCTTAAAAGTTCATACCTAGGCAAGAGGGAGTTGGGTTCACAGCCAAAGTCAAACCAAGATAGCAGTCATCTTTTTCTGTCCCAAAATCCCACAGGTTCAACTCAAGATTAGGCTCAGGTCCTGCACAACAGGATAGCTTCATGAACTAAAAGTGGACAGTGACAGATGCTAAAAGTATTTTACGAGTTCTCACCAACACTACTTAAATTCATCTGCAGTGGATCCCCTAGAGGACGAGGAATTGACATATCAACCTAATCATTAGCAAGTGGCAGGTTATTTTAATCTCCATGGAAGGATGCCAATTACAGTAAAAATCTGAAGCAAATGGCAAATAACATAAAATGGCTTACATGAAAAAATGGGTGCTGTAAGCATTGGTCAGCAGTTGGTCTTCTCAATGGGTCCCACGAGCAGAGTTGCTATGTCATGAAGGGAGGGATAGATCAGTAAAGAACCACTTTGTATTTCGTGCATAAAATATGCCAGTAATGTAAAGAAGCAACTAGTAGGAATACCTTGATCAAATCAATAGCTTCCAAGCTAGCATTTGGAATGACATCAGACAGATTGGCTGGTGTAATCTATCAGGAACAAAAAAAAAAAGAAGAAAAAATGATTCGAATACGTGATCATTCACATGTCTGTGATAAGGGTCAAAAGAAACTGGCAGGAAATTAGCAAGAAGTTCATCTGGACTTACATCAAAACAACTTATATCAAACAACCGTGAAGCACTTCTCAGTTCTGGGAAGCTAGTCCAATCTGGCGGTCCAAGAACACAGCATATCTTATACAACTGATCAATTTCACTGGTCAAAGAAAAAGGGAAGATTACTCTTTAAGGAAACAGTTCTCCAAATGATACGAATCAAGTTCCAATTACCCATAATATTTGAACAATATGCTCTCACAAGCTCTTGGAACTAACTACATCACCTAATTGTCGGTTACATTTGAGGTCAAAGCAGTCTAGGCTCCAAAATAAAGAAGCTAGGACATCATTTTTGTGTAAGACATTATGGGGTATAAAATCACCTTTCACCGGGGAATATTGGGCAAAGAGTGAAAAGCTCAGCAAGTACCGCACCAACTGCCCACATATCTGTGTACAGACCTTATTCTCATGAGTCAAGAAAAAGATCAATTAACCAACAAAAACAAACATGAAATTTTATCCAAGAGTTCTTTCCACGTATTGAACAATTTCTAATGTAAGGCTGTCAAACTTAAGAATGTTTGAGAACTTCAAAAGAAGAGCAGTTCAAAGAGAAGTATGTTTTTGGATAGATCATAGAATGACCATTAAAATTCCAAAACAAAGCAATCTAAAAAAATACAAGGAAAAGAGATTGAAAAACCCAAGCATGTGAAGTAGTGAATAGACATAAGATAACTTCAACAATTGAAAAGGGAGCCAAGTCACCGGTCAACAATGTTCTAGAAAACTAACCCAAGTTTTTTTGTACATTCATCTAAAATCATGCTAGACAAACATGGAAAAAAAACTGAGGAAATTCTTAGTTTCTACTAGGAGAACACCAGCAAATGTCTCATATTCCAGTTCTACTATTGAATCAAGCCAGCATTTTAAAGTCAAGGCTTTGATGGGCCTGTGTTACGCATGGTAAACATGGTCCACAGGATTTCCTGGCACTCTCCTATTTTCTTTTACACAACCTTCATTGAACCCATTGAAGGTTATATTACCTTCAAAGAGCCATGACAGGTCACACAACGTGCTTACCATCAAAATCAACAAAAAACGTTTAAAGAAAGACTGTTTATACACTGTAAAATATCAACAAACACGAAATATACTGCTGCGCAATGTACTTAGATTTACAAGTATATAAGGACAAGTAACAAACTAGCTGCAACAGCCGTCAAGATTCAAGAACAAAATTTCTGGATGCTAGCTTGAGTTTCTAAACATACTGAAACCTATTGGTGTCAAATGAAAAAATGATCCAGTGTGCCACACAAGAAGCTTCTGAAATTGCAAGAATGTACTGACAGTGCATACCGATAGCAGGTGTGTATGATGAAGATTGCAACAAAACTTCTGGTGCTCGGTACCTTTTAAAGACATTAGAACATCCTTACATCAGAGGCAAAACTTTTGCAAGCACTTGGAAACAAAGGATGCACCAAACTAGAGAAGACAACTCACCAACGAGTTGAAACATAGTCGGTGAAAGGAGGTGATGAAGACACTTCACGAGCCAACCCAAAGTCAGCAATTTTAATTACGTCATTCGTCACCAGTAAATTCTCTGAGCCAGAACAAGTGTAACTTTAGTTTCCCACTTCCATAAGTAAAGATAGTAAATAGACCACATGACATTTCAATACCAGGTTTCAAGTCCCGATGAAAGTAACCATTTTTATGCATATGGGCAAGTCCTTGCAACACCTGAGACATCAATCCTCGAATCTCTTCCTCTAGGAAAGGTCTTTGCCGATCTTTCATTAGTTGGTACAAGTTACGTTCCTAGATAATCAATAAGGAGACAGTTTAGAGGTTCACGTTGACATAGAATTTCGATATTCCGAAACTAAAAGCACTAATGGCCAGAGTTACATAAATGTACATTATGTTATCAGAACGAAAGATTCTGCAGCACAGACAATGAGAAAGGTGCAACACAAAAATCTAGACAAAAGTCTTAAACTGATACCATGTACTCAAGTATGAAGAAAAGCTCATTGTTTTCCCTGACAATCTCTTTCAGTTTGATGATGTTAGGATGATTCAATTTACGGAGGGACTGCGCAGAGAAAGATTGAAAAGCTTAGCTTGCACCAAGAATATATAAATATGTACAAGAAACTCTTTTCTAACACGGTAATTTTTCTGAATAGATATGTTTAAATACTCCCTTCAGACCATCAATATGAGACCAAATAAGAGGAAACCTACACACCTTTATTTCACGTAGATTAATGCATTCTTCCCAAAAATAGAACTTCCTCTTCATTTTCTTTACTGCAACCTACAATAATGAAACGAAACTATAAGTTACAATCTTTGAGAGGAATCAACATCCTGTGAGATGTACGAGCACAGAGAAACAATCAACATAAGCCTCTCCGTCAACTCCCTCCAAGGGGAACAAAGAAGAAAGTGAAAAGGTCAAATTTTATTATCCTTCATTTTTGGAAATAGCATAGGCATGATTAAAACTAATCTGATGACTTGACTATAAGTGGAATGGAACTTTAACATGGCTCTCACAAATTATTATGTATGGTACTAAGGCCCTTCTGGTTAGGCAGACTCTACCTGAGATTTGGCACATGTTAGTACTGTTGTGTGAAAGATGCACCAATAACTTGCCATTACAAAGGAAACCAAGGAGCAAATCCAAATGTTCTGGTACTTACAAGTAATAACAATAGGATTTTATTAATTTAGACGTGCAACTCTTCAAACATGCACAGATCAAAATCTCTTTTGGTGCTGCCAGACGCAAACTTCCTACTCAAGTCTTAGATTTTGCATATATGATTATGGTACGGCTCCTTATACCAACTAATAAATGAGAAAATCTGAAAAACACGTGTGGATATATAAAACATAATAAATACATAAACAAAGACGATCACTTACAATTTCAGATGTTTCTGTATTAATGGCCTTATATACATTACCACACGTTCCATCTCCAAGCTCCTTCAATATTCTATATCTGGAATTATAATGTCCCACAGAACAAAGTACAAAACTATTGGGTCATCAAAAGGAAAATCACCTCTTAATATCCAAATAGAGTGTGAACATGAATTACCTTTCCATTTTAAGATTACAATGACTGGCGGACCAACACTTTTTCAATGGACCTCTAACCTCCTGATAGAGGTTTCTACACTGTAGAAACAGTGATCTTCACGTGATTGTTGACATATATCACTTTTTATGTGCAGCATACGATACGGTAAATGGTAAAAAATCCACCTCTCATCACAAAAGAAATTGAAAATCAATTGAAAGACTATCAACATGCTTAAATGCAGCCTTCACGAGCTGCAATCAGTAGTTATCATCTAAAAGGCAGCCACTGGTTTCTGTCAAATACTTGCTATATCTTGGATAAAGTAAGCCAACAAAATATCAAACCATGAACATGCCTCTTTTCCAAGTTCAGTTATGTTTTCTCTGTCAAGAAGTTACAGAGAAGTCAGAGACAGCTGTAGAACATGAATAACGCATGCTACCTTCAGTGCTTTAAAGGATTCAAGAATCTGGATTAAAAATATAAACCAAAAAAACATAAAAAGCAGAATATGTATCAAACAATCACAGAGAGAAAGGAGAGACGAGATGAGATAAAAAAGATGCTACAAAAATAGTGAATAGCATATGCAGGCTGCTATTCTGTGGAAGAGTTCTATTGCGTTACCTAGCCCACTGAGATCTATTCCAGTATTCTAAACACTACGGGGGCTCACCTTCTATAGGATCTTTGGGACATCAAGCGAGAAATAACTACTCTGATCAGCTCATCCATGCCTACTATTATGATGATATAGAACTGGAACATTCAAAGACAGGAATCACCTCTTGGATTTAGCATTATCCATGAACATATGTAGCAATTAGCTTCACCTTTTCTTGTCGTAACAATGATTTCTATATGACATCAACAGCTAAATAGTAAACTGATTCAGCTTCAATTATTTTGAGAGGTCTCTGGTTTTATTTTCTTCATATTTGTGCCGACTGTCAACAAACAGAAGTGCTCAAAGGAGAATTACAAATTAAAAACAATCCACCATAAGTACAAATCATATTACATGTCAAAACTCAAAACTACTCGTGAAAAACATGTAATAACAAAATATTAAAAAACACTGGATGTTTATAGTAGATAAAATCAAACAGCAATTTTGAACACAAAAAAAAAAAACAGATGCAGATTTTACAGTAGCTCTTCTAGTGCCAATTCAAATCAACACCGAAAGCAGTCAAGTCACTTCATATTATAAACCAAAAAATACAGCAAAAAATGAAGAAAATTGAATTTAAAGCTACAGAAGACTAATGCAATTGAGTTTATTCATAGTTTTCCGATCAACACAAAAGAAGTAAATTCTCCGACCACCAGAAAAAACATTAAATAAGCACGATATAATAGAAAAAAACACGGAAATTGAAGAAGAAAAAATCAAACTCACCGCTTAATGTTGTAGAAACAGTGAAACTTCAAACATCTAGAGAGAGAAAGATCGAGATAAAGGAAGATTTCTAGAGAGAAGATAATTGTACCGATCGATAATGTAACAGCAAAATCATCATAAGAAGAAGCGTTGTAGAAGAAACCAAAATATATTTTGGAAACATATAAAAAGTAATTAAAATATTAAAATAGTTTTTTTTAAGATAAACAAGAGAAATTAAAAACAAAAATTAAAAAATGGAAAAGATGCTTGGTGGTGGGGAAAAGGAGTGGTCCTCTTTCACGTATGTTTACATAAAAGCCCTTCTGCCTATTTGTTATTTTCAAACTTATCCATTGTCGGTTATTTTGTGACAACTTTGCCCTATAATTGTTCGTAAAATTACGAACCTCTGCCATTATGTGAACAGGTACTGATTGTAATTCTCAGGAAAAATAGGAATGTAATCGGTATTTCACATTTCACCCGACCACGCGATTTCGGACGAAAGAACTAGTCTTCTCATGGAATTTGACTTGGGCTTGAAGCTTGGGCTCGCGGAAATGAGTATAATTTGAAGTTGAGAAAGAATATTCCTTCGGTAGTTTCAAATATATGTAATAAAGTAATTAGTTTATAATAAATATAGTCACATTTTTGTTTATATAAAATAATCAAAATTCATAGAAGTATATATTGATTATATATTATGATATATTAAAAAAATGAATCGAGTTTATCCATACATAAGTTATACATTGATTATTCATTACGATACACTTAAAAAATTGAATATAGCTTAACTATACATGAAGTGTATCTGACTATCCAATCTTGACCAACTCAAAAACTCATTTAAATAGTCTCAACTTTTAGATATAAAACCTCTCGATATTTCAAATCTCCTGATATATAATTCATTCAAAACGATTCACGTTTGCGGTATATTGAATTTTAAAGAAAAATAGGAAGCAAAGAAGAAGAGAGAGGAGGAGAAGGAGGGGGGAGGACGATGAAGAAGTAGAAGGAGAAGAAGAAGAAAAAGAGAAAGATGGCATTTAACCATTTTTTTTATCAATACTTTTTATGAGTTCACATTCTGCATAATTATTCATAAATTATATCACATAAATTAACACAGAACGAATACAAGTCAAATGATGACTCCCAAAGCGGATATTTATGCATATAGTTTAGGGGTGTGCAAAAATTAAACCGATCGATAAATCGAATAAAAAAAAGTGATATTGGTTTATTGCTATTAGGTTAACAAATTTTTAATAATTTTATTAAAAAAAATTATCGAGTTATCGGGGTAATTTTTTTATTTTTAATGTCCATTAAAACTGTAGTACTTTACTACTTTACCTACACATAAATTTAAGGGGAAAATGGATGAAATAACAAACTATTAATTCAAATTAAATACTATAGCCATAATTTATTTTATTTGTAATTCACAGCAAACATTCCATTTTTTTGTCATCTGATTCGGTATACAATTAGCCATTTTCGGTATACAATTAGTCATTTTATACATTTCGGTATAAAATATATATAATGCGTTTGTGTTTGTATAAAACGAGAGAAAAGTGTAAATACAAATACAAATATATATATATTTTCGTCCTATACACTTATAATTATACAAATACAAATCTTATTATACAAATTACAATGTATAAATGAATTTATACAAAACTGAACAATTTGTATAAAATTGGATACATTTAGCGAATTATACAAATCAAAAGCTCCATAGCAAACATAAAATTTGCTATGGAGCGCAATTATACAAACTATAGTTATAACATACAAATATGATTTTTATGTTTACTATATGTGAAAGTTGCTCTAAATTTAAATATGAACCTCAATACCTTATTGGTTACAATCTTTTCCCTTCAGCTTTCAATTCACACTACTTTTAGTTCACAACTTAATATTATACAAAACGTCAAAATCTAAAGTAAAAACCATATTCCTCTTAATTTATCTTTGTGTTACACTTATATAGTTTTTTTTTCATGTTAACTGAGTATTAATGTTTCTATTTTATGAGCATTTCTAAAAGAGTAAATTTTAGGAATAGCAAACATAAAAATCATATCAGCGCTTTATAACTATAATTTTGTTATTCGCGAGCATCTGATTTGTATAAATTGTGCGTTTGTGTCTACGAAAATTGTGTTTGTACATGTATATGTTCTTTGTGTTAGGCTAGAGCGGCGAGGGAGATGAGGAGAGAGGCAATCGAGAGAGGGCAAAGAGTGGGAGAAGTGAATTGTATATGTATATCGGTTAGATAATTGTATATATGTAACTACTATGTATATGTATTAATGAATGTGTTTGCATATCTGCATAAAAGTTGAATTTTTATATAATTGAATTGAGTTAAAAAATTTGTATGTGCATATCAAATATATCTCTCGCTCTATACAAATACAACGAGAGAGAGGGGCAAAAGAGATATGGGTAGGGGAAGATTTGTATTAGTATAATTATAAGTGTATAGGACGGAGATATATATATTTGTATTTGTATATACAATCACTCTCGCTTTATACAAACACAATTTATACATTTGTGCGTATAAAAGTGAGAGGCGAGGGAGAGGATTGAGAGTGACGAGCGAGATTCAGGGGAGAGAGGCGAGAATGACAAAGTGCTTGTTACGTATTAGAATTAAATAAAACTGTAGCTTGAACATTTATTTTGAGTTAATAGTTTCCTATAATGCACAATTTTTGCCCTACATAAATTCGAACTGAACCAACGGCATGCCACAACTTAGCCCGATAGTTGGGCTATTAAAAGGGACTGCTTAGCGGAAAATATGGGCCTAACATAGCTTCTCGGCCCATATAAGTTAATTGTCTTAGGCCCACGCCCAAAGTACGAAATCACAGCAACTCAACCAAACACACCCTTGTTTCTTCTCTCCGATACCGAAAATGCAGGCGACCGTGCGCCGTCCGGTCATCTCCTTTCTCTTCTCTTCACTATCTCTCCGCCGTATATCCAGCTCCTCCTCCTCCGATCTCTACCCCAAAGCCCTAACATCTCCGCTGCCGTTCTCCGATGAACTCCCAGTCCCTATCCCTCGGACCCGAACTCAAACTCCATTAGAGAAACAGTTCGAATCATGGATCAGCAATCTCAAACCCGGGTTCACACCAGCTGATGTAAACGAAGCCTTGAAAGCCCAAACCGACCCGGACCTTGCCCTCGATATCTTCCGGTGGACGGGCCAACAACGGGGCTACAAGCACAACCATGTTACTTACTTAAACATGATTAACATTGCAGTATCAAGTAAGCGTTATCGCGTTGCGGAGACTTTAGTCGAGGAAGTTCTCGCCGGCGCTTGCCCGCCGAGCCTCCCTCTGTACAATTCCATGATTAAGTTTTGCTGCGGTCGTAAATTCTTATTTAATCGTGCATTTGATATTTACAAGAAAATGACTAAATGTGAAGATGCTAAGCCGTCATTAGAAACTTATAATTTGTTGCTGAATGCTCTTCTCAGTAAATTTAATAAGTTACATGTTTGTTACGTGTATTTACATTCTGTTCGATCATTAGCGAAGCAAATGAAGTCTTTTGGGGTGATTCCTGATACATTTGCATTGAATATGATAATCAAGGCTTACTCTAATTGTCTGGAGGTTGATGAGGCTATTCGTGTTTATCGTGAAATGGGTTTGTATGGATGTGAGCCTGATGCGTTTACCTATGGCTATATAGCCAAAGGGTTGTGTGAGAAGGGAAGAGTGAATCAGGGGCTTGAGTTTTTTAAGGAAATGAGGAACAAAGGGTTTATTCCGAAAGGATCTACTTATATGATACTGGTTTGTAGTCTTGCTTTGGAGCGTCGCTTTGAGGATGCCACTGAGGTGGTGTTTGATATGTTGGATAATTCATTGTCACCTGATCAGCTTACTTATAAAACAGTGATGGAAGAATTGAGTAGGGAAGGAAGAGGAGATTATGCATTTGAACTTCTTGAAGAATTTAAGAAGAGGGATAGTTTAATGAATGAAAAGACTTACAAGTCTTTGTTGAATACTTTATATTTTCTTAATAAGGACTAGTAGAACTTTGATATGTTTATGTTTTCAATATTGATCAATCGTCTTTTGGAAGTATATCTTTTGCCCGCCTGATGAATGAGAAGTTGTTTATCAGCAATAAGATTCAGTAACGCCATCAGGAATTAGAATCGGAAAGGCTAGTCTTGCTGTTCAGAATCATCTTTTTCCAGCATAGGTGAAGAATTATTTACTAATCCTTGTTCATTAATTTGCATGTCTTGATAATGGTTCAACAAAGCTGAATCATGCCCACTATGTTATTGAGAGCTAAGTTGCTCGGACTCTCCAAAAATGTTGCCGCACCTGTGTTGATCCTTCAAAAATGCACTACTTTTGAAGGGTCCAACACACACCCGATGACATTTATGAAGAGTCCCAACAACATATATTGAGAGGGCTGCAAGTCTTCTACATGCTTCATTATGAAGTTCGGTTTAACCAAGTATCTTTTTCTACATTGCACCTGTGCAGATGGTTCATTTGCACTTCGCAGTGCTGGAAAGTCTTGAGTTGCTTATTCAGGTGACTACAAGGACAATAATTCGAGGAAATGGGGTGTGGTTATTCTTTGGCAGATGGATCTCAAACTAATGCTAAGTAGTTTCCAACTGTTTGGAGCTGTGAATCAGACACTAAAGTGGAGAAACACTTCATTGAACAGTGATTGAAGAAAAAGTCTGGCCACTGGGATATCATTATGTATTCAGGCTGAAAATAGTGTTGGGCATGGAATGACTGTTTCAAGAGAAAAAGAGCCAGTAATCTCATGGTGCTGACTAAAATGAAAGGTTGGTCCAGCCAAACAGTTGATATGTTGGATACTTGTTGCTCAATGCTTCCATCGTGCCAATTGATAGTTGAGACTTGAGAGTTGGCTAAATCATGAAGTGTTTTGCATCTGCACGTGAATTGGCTTCTTGCTGCCCATAATCAATGAGAATGTAGTAGAATTACCACAGGAGCGACATGGAAAGTTAGTATTCATATAGCTGACCTCAACTTGTGATTGAAATATAATAGTTGTTGTAGGCTTTACTTGGATGCTATTCTGTCAAATCGAGTCTGTAATACCTATTGACCAAGTTCAAGACTCCAAATTACTACATTACATTGTCGTTGTCATTGTCAAGGAGATGCTAATGAAACATATTTTTCTTTTGCTTTACTTGTATACACTTGCTGTTGGTGTTGGGTAGTGACAATATTACAAACTCTAACCCTGTAAATAGACAGAACTATTTTGGAAGCTCATCCAGCAATGGTAAAGTTAACTAAAGACAACAAAGAAGGAAATCGAACACTCTCTCTTTATGTTGCTTGGTCTTGGAATATCAACTTTTATTTTTATCACAAAACATAATTTAGATATGGCATTCAAATTTAAACGTTTTAATCTTAATGAAAACAAATGAGAGGCATAAAACACCAGAACATCCCTAAGAGGATATATGTTTTAGAAACGAAAATACTCAAGAACTTTGGCTATATCTTAAATGAAGGTCCTCAAGTCCCCCTTATTTTACGACCCGTTTTTCAGTGTTGGCCCAAATTCGGCCCATTTCATTTGCCATCTAACTTAAAACTTTAATTAAAGATCAGCAGTTGGATTAATAAGAATTTAGTAGTGGTCCCCACTCTCCAATAATATTATCTAAATTTAAGAATTACTAATATATTGGTTATCTAAATTTAAGATATCTGGAAGAATCCTGACCCTTCGTCACGCTAAAGGTCTCTCAAAAACCTTGGAACACTCTAGAACCTAAACCCTTTCTTTTCACACTAGCTATCACACCATTTAAGCCTCCATCTTCTTCTTCTCCAACACGCCATTATTTTCTTTCACTGAGCTCGATTCTATCAATCAATCAATCTTCTGTGTGTGAGTGCATATTGTGTTTGACGGGAAAATGGACGAGGATTTTGGTATTCCACCGGTAGAGGGAATGAACGAGGACATGGATCTGCCGGATGACAGTTCGACCCTGAAAGTAGGCGAGGAGAAGGAAATTGGAAATCAGGGATTGAAGAAGAAGCTTGTTAAGGAAGGTGAAGGTTGGGATACTCCTGCGCCTGGTGATGAAGTCGAAGGTAATTAGTTTGCATATGAGATTTGTTTATGTTAATGTGTTTTTTGTGCTTGCAATATTGTTTTGATTAATTAATTGCAATTGTATTAGTTGCTGTTAATTAGTATTTTGCGCTCGCTAGGCTCGTGGATTGATTCTGAGCTCATTCTATGGCTTATGGATTATTTAATTTTCATTTGTTTCATCTACTCTGCGGTAAACGTGATTTTGTTCGTGTTATTTGAGCTCACGTTGGTTTTTGCATTTTCAGTTCATTATACTGGAACTTTGCTTGACGGAACCAAGTTCGATTCCAGTCGCGATAGAGGGGACCCCTTCAAGTTTACTCTCGGTCAAGGTTAGTGAATGTTCACTAGCATTTTGTATTTGCTTGTTAGTGGTTATTGAATAAACTTAAGTGATTTGATAAAACAAATGAAAGCTTGATAGCTCTAATAGGACCAGTATAGATGATATGAGATTGGGGAGCTTGTTTCCTCCAAGGGCTTAGTAAATATATGGTAACACGTAAATCTTGTTCCCTAGTTTAAAGTAGGATTTAGCTTGTCGAGAAGGCATGAACTTCACAACAGTAAATTTTTTATTACGAGAATCTGAAGATGTGGTGAAGCTGTTCTCACTAGCACTTTATAGCTCCTCTGAGATTTTCTTCTTCTTGTTTCCTTAGAGGATGATTGTAATGGTCTTTGGCATTCCAAAGTAGATTTCATCCTCAATTCTAGAGATTTTCGGGTTGAGAGGACTATGCTTGTCAAAGATTGCAAACAGAAAGTTGATTTGTTTGAAATCTAATTACATGAGAACTCATGTTAAAGCCAAGAAATACAGATTTTTTCATTGCGAGAAAGTCTCTGATATCTATGTAATTAGCATTTGCACTAGATGAATTCGATTTTGCTTCAAGATTAAACAGATATGCTGATGCTTTTTATTTCCTGATAGGACAAGTTATTAAAGGATGGGATCAAGGTATAAATACAATGAAGAAAGGTGAAAATGCTATTTTCACCATTCCTCCAGAGCTTGCTTATGGAGAGAGTGGTTCTCCTCCAACTATCCCTCCAAATGCCACTCTACAATTTGATGTTGAGTTGCTATCATGGGTGAGTGTAAAAGACATTTGCAAGGATGGTGGAATTTTCAAAAAGATCCTCACAGAGGGGGAGAAATGGGAAAACCCGAAAGATCTTGACGAAGTATTTGGTATGTATTATTAATTTCAAATCACAAGGGACTATGCTATAGCTGTTTGGAACATAAATTGAGCATCTTCTTTTGTCTTTTGTAATTTAGTCAAGTACGAAGCTCAGCTCGAAAATGGCACAGTGGTGGGAAAATCAGATGGAGTGGAGTTCACTGTTCAAGATGGTAACCTTTGACTACTTATGCCCCACAATGTTCTATTAGGTGAATTTTTTTTTGTAGTTTTGTTCTGACATCCCTAATGGAACAGGTCATTTCTGTCCTGCTCTTGCTAAGGCTGTGAAAACTATGAAGAAAGGTGAAAAGGTCCAATTGACAGTGAAGCCACAATGTAAGTGATGCTTGCTACCAAGTGACTGTGTAATCATCTGCCGATAAGAGGGCTGTTGTTAATAAGTCTGATTTGTTTGCTGCAGATGGCTTTGGAGAGAAAGGAAAACCAGCCTCGAGTGATGGAGGAGCAGTTCCACCTAATGCCACATTACAGATCAACTTAGAGTTGGTCTCGTGGAAAACTGTTTCAAATGTTACTGATGACAAGAAAGTATTAAAGAAGATCCTGAAAGAAGGGGAAGGATATGAGAGACCCAATGAAGGAGCTGTTGTTAAATGTTAGTTTGTCACAGGAAAAATTCTTTAGTTTGTGCTTGTAAGTTACATGAATACTATGATATCTGAGGGTTGTTTCAATTTGCATACTGCAGTAAAACTGGTTGGCAAGCTGCTAGATGGCACAGTCTTCACAAAAAAGGGCCATGATGGGGAAAATGAAGACAACCTTTTTGAGTTTAAGACAGATGAGGGTATGACTCCGAATACATTTTTGTTCCAACTACAGAGATCTTATGTTGTGATTTTCCCTGGACTTTAATACTTAACTAGTATTGATTGAGCTCTAATTTACCCTGAACAGAACAAGTAATAGATGGGCTGGACCGAGCTGTCTTGACAATGAAGAAGGGTGAAGCGGCGCTGCTTACAATTGCACCTGATTATGCCTTTGGTTCATCTGAGTCGAAGCAAGATTTAGCTGTTGTTCCTCCTAATTCAACTGTGCATTATGAGGTTGAGCTTGTTTCTTTTGTCAAGGTATGTGATGTTTTCTTTCTTTTTATTTTCTAACCTTGGATATATGTCACTGTTCTCTGGATCTATACTTTAATCATATACTCTTGTCGGTGGCTTGTAGGACAAGGAATCATGGGATATGAATACCCCGGAGAAAATTGAGGCTGCTGGCAAAAAGAAAGAAGAAGGGAATGCACTGTTCAAGGCTGGTAAATACGCAAGGGCATCTAAGAGATATGAGAAGGTAGATACCTGGCTTTTACTGTGTTGTTTAGAACTAGAATAGTGGGTCTTTTGTCTGTGAAGATCAAAATGCTATTGTGATGTGCCAGGATTACCTAACTGTACATTTTAACAAATGCAGGCTGCTAAATTCATCGAGCATGATACTTCCTTCAGCGAGGAGGAAAAGAAACAGTCTAAAGCATTGAAGATCACCTGCAACTTAAATAATGCAGCCTGCAAGTTGAAATTGAAAGATTACAAGCAGGCCGAGAAACTGTGTACCAAGGTATAGAACTCGAAACCTAGAAATTCCCCCCTTAAAAGAAATACTCATTCATCCTTTTTACTTTCTTCTTGAGGATTATTTGTGTGAGCTGTAGGTGTTGGAACTGGATAGTGCAAATGTCAAAGCTCTATACCGCAGAGCTCAAGCATATATGAACATGGCTGATCTTGATCTGGCTGAATTTGACATTAAGAAAGCTCTTGAGATTGATCCTGCCAACAGGTATACAACCAAGCCCATTCTATACTATACCCAAGCTGTCATATTTGTCAGTTATGGTGCTGAAGCTTGTTCTCTTATGTGATATCAAGGGATGTGAAGCTTGAGTACAAAGCTCTAAAGGAGAAAGTCAAGGAAATTAACAAGAAGGATGCAAAGTTCTACGGAAACATGTTTGCAAAGTTGACTAAGCAGGATGCAGCAAACTCAGCCGTAAGTGGCAGACTTTATAACCCCTAGACTTCGAGCTTTACTTCTTGTTGTTTTGTTGACTCACTCATGGCTTTGTTTTATGTAGAACTCTGCTCCTAAGGAACCAGAACCGATGAGCATTGATAGCAAGGCATAACTTTAACTCAGATATGACATAAAAAGGATCAGCATCATTATCTAGACGGTTCCGATGAGATGTCATATATACCATGGAGTCGTTATAGTTGGATTTTAGGAAAAAGGTTTTGCT